CCACGACGGTCCCTGTAATGTATCAAGAGTAGTCAATTACGGGGTAGAGGGAATAGGGCTAGCCAACAAAAAAAGAAGACCGCAGGCCAATCGGTCCAGCGGTTGCTGAGATATAAGCCTCTCAAAAGCGTTACAGGCCGGGCCGGGTCGGGCCGCTCATACTGAGCTTTTTCCGTGATATTGAAAAGACTTCGCTTCGCTCGCTCGCTCGTAATTAACAATTCATGGTGGACTATATGGATTGCTAAGTGATTGCGCTCTATTAGCACACTATCTAAGTAGCCCTTAATTGCTGCCGGTGCGTGGACTGTGAAAGTGAGCCGAGCTGTGACGCAAACCGTGCGCCTTTTTCAGGTGTGGGATCACTCGTGGAAGTTCACGGCGGATACGGAGCCGTGCATGCAGCTCTGGTTCGATCCTGCTCAGGGAAGCCCCAATGACGCCGTGGCGCGCATCTGGGCTGAGCGGGTGGTGGCGGCCGGTGCGCGGGCGCTGCCGCGTGGCTGGTGGCCGCGGCCCTGGCGGCAGCGGCCCGCTCCTGACCCGGTCGCCCTGTGCCGAGCACAGAGCGCCGACTGAGGTCAGTCTTGTGATCGAGCTTCCGCGCCGGAGGTGGAACAGGTGGAGCTGGCGGTCACCTGCGCGGGCTCGGCGGCCTGTAAGCCGTGCCGAGACGAACCGCGACACTCTTGCTAGATCTGCACCCCATTGTAATCTTCTGTAGTCGATATTCGGTAGGTACTCAATGCTCATTTTTCTGATATTAGACGAGTGGCGTGTTTTGATGTTACATTGGAGACTGCTGTCTCGGGTGGCCCGACAGTGTTCGATTGTGGTGTAATGTAGATACATAGACGGGATGCCGCGGCTCGGATTCGTAGCTGGACTACCATGTGCCTGTCGATTGAGATGCTTTGCCTGGCGATTGAGATGATTCGGGGCGCGGCCCCACACTGACGCCATGGTGCAATGAGTGACTGGCGACAACTAAGCAATTATGTACTTTTGTAGAACACATGTTTTCATGGATACGAGAGGCAGTCCTTTTTTCGCTAGCAGTCATTTGGTTCACGATACTTTCGATACCGACAAATATGTTCGGGCGGCCGGTCCGTCTACAGCTAATGCGTGCTTGCCCGCCGATGCCTAACGGAGCGCTGTGCTGTCTACGCTCACTGGTCGCTGGCCCGAGAGCCGTTCGGTTGCTGCTGTTAAAACAGTTCTCACAAAAACACGCTGGCTGGCTGCCAGTTCTTCACCAATGAGAGGCCCAGTAGCATCAGCAGGTAGCATTGTTACTATTCCATTTTGTTTATCCATATGTCCGACCTAGAGCCGACTGGTAAAAAGCGGCAACCGAGCAGCCCTCCGCAGCGCTGCAGATCATGTACGCTCGATTATACACAATATATGTGTCTTTCTTGCACACAGAGACATGACGTTTTGTAGAGCTTTTATATCGCTTGCGGCTGAAAGGAATATTGTACATTTTAGAGCTTTCATATACGCGAGAAAATATGGTGCAAAAAAAAACATTTATGAAGCCTGTTGAATTTTAAAGGTTGTTGGGGCATTTCACAGACTGTGTCGGTGGGCAGGGCAGCCCGGCCCCGGCCGCCGCCGCCGCCGCCTCCTTCACTGGTATGTGGCAGGGACGGAAGCTTCGTATTGATATACCGGGGTGCAACTCAAGCAGCATATCACCTATCAAACAACCTTCGGTTATGAAGTGAATGAAAACTAAATATTATGTATAACTGTGGTCTGCGCTGCGGTGTTTCCAAAGTGGAGGAAGTACGGGGAGCTGGACCCAGACTCGATGAGCCCTCTACTACGGATCTGGGTCTTCGCAGCTGATCGTCTGTGAATGAGAGATCATATGATACCAATGCATACCGAACGGATCAAAAACAGTGCCATTATATATTTGCAATTCTACAGCTTTACGTAAGCCCATCCTAGTGAATGCATTAATACGCGTTGATTTGACAACTGACATCCGGTTGAAGGCGTTTTTTTCGGGCAACAGCCGGCCAGCAGTTGTTGCAGGCCGGCCTCGTTGGGAAGCAGGTTCATTTTCCGACAGCCACTGCGTGCGGAAGCACTCTCTGATGGCGCGGACGGCGCGCGCCGGCTCCTGTTTCTGTAACGTGTAGAGGCGGGTGTCGAGCAGCTGGGCGCGTAGCGGGCGGTCCTCGAGCACGCGGAACGAGGCCGGCTGGCGCGGGTACAGGCGCTCCCTAAACAGCAGGCCCCAGTGGTGGCAGAGTCGAGCGTCGCGGCGCGGCCGCCGTCTGTTCCAGCTCGGCGTCGGCGCGCCCCTCGGCGAACAGCAGGTGCAGCTGACGGTCGGCCAGGCAGAAGCCGCTGATGCCAGGTGTGCTGACGTCGCCGGGCCGGCGCGGCGCGGCGCCCTCGGCCGCCGCCGGGCTGGGCGGCTCGTTGAGCTGCTGGATGAGCTGCAGCACGCCGCTGCGCTGCAGGCCGCGCTGCGAGACGACGGCCAGCAGGCGGCCGTAGGCGCAGCGCGCCGGCGCCGGCCGCGGCAGCAGGTCCAGCGGCACGGCCAGCGACACGGAGACGGACAGCTGCGCCGCCGACTGCAGCAGCTGCAGCGGCCCGAACGGCGGCGGACACGTGCCGCGCTCAATGTCGGCCGCCGGAGAGGCAGCCGGTCCGGCCGGCACCGCTGTCAGCGGCACCTCCACACTGAGCAGACGCACGCCGCGCGTCAGGGCAGAGACGTCCACCACCACCTGCCGCGCACACAGAGGGCCGACAGTGGTGACAGCGCGCGGCGGGTCAGACCTCACAGTGGGGATAGCGGCAGCGGGTCAGACACCCTTATAGAACAGCACGGGGCGGAGCCGACAAAAGAGGACGAGGAGACGGTCATACAGCCGACTGAGGTCCGGGCACCGACTGACTCAAAGTGCTGAACATGTCACACATTTCTAAATGGCTTCTGTAGGACGGAATAGTGTCTCTTCCTTCCAAGGCTTACTTGCAGAATAATATGGAAAGACACAATTTTACAAGTTGTGTTTTTATGACATAAGTTCTTTATAACATTTCAACACGCAAACATCATACCTTGACAATTGTTCACGATGAAGATCATGCAGGAACATTTCATATTTAGTCACCCTTGATTATTTTGTTGATAGTGATGCGAAAGGCAAATTACTAAAGTATATATTTGCAATTATTTGAGTTAATAATTTCAACTTTTTTGTGTTGAAAATTGACTTTTGAAACAATAAAGGCAAATGAATTATCAGTGTCTGGAAAGGTGCAATGCTGAAAGCTTCTTATTACATTCTAATTTATATCTAAAGCTTTGTGATATCCAAACTCTCAGAAATAACCAAGGACGTAACCAAGGAGGGGGGAGGGGCACGGGAGCCATGCCCTCGTGCCCCTTCCCCCCTCGGTGATGGCGATTTTTTTTTAAAAATAAAAACAGCTGTGACACACCCCCAAAATAGTGGGCCTAATCCGAGAAATTTTTCTTTTTTGGAGGGGGTGCAACACTAGGCCACAACCTGTGACCCCCCCCCCCCCCCTGAGCTACGTGCCTGGAAATAACAAAGCACATCCTATCCTTTGATGCTACTTACCAGCAGCTTTGCGCACTACCAAACAGCCACCTTTGGGCCTTTGTTGTTCTTGTTTTGGGCATTGTCAGTGGTAACTGGAAATAATCAGACATGATGGTCAGAGTAGGGAATGTGACTACAACAAAAATCATTTGATTCCTATAATAAAGACATGATTTAATAGAAGACTTTCTTCTTAAGAAAGTGTGTCATGGATACCAGCTAATCTGTATGGTATTTATCTCCAGTATTATCATATAGGTATAACAATTATCACCACCCGCCACCATTGAATGTAGGTTTTAGGTTGTAGGTTGTAGGTGGTAGGTTGGGTATCGGTAAAGCTGGTGTCACCGTCAGCGCTAACCGGTAAATGTGTAGATAAAAGGAATCTTAAAAACAATCTAACCTAACCTAACCTTACTTACCTACTGACCTAAAACCTACCTACCCACAACCTACCAAACTAATATACGCTGACAGTGATGCCAGCTTTACCAATGCCGTACGTTGTAGGTTGTAGGTAAGGCTAGGTCAGGTAAGATTATGTTTCATTATATATTTACTGAGAAGACGGCTGAATGCTCTTGAGACGTGGCTATACATTTACATTTTGTAAGTAATTTTCAGGTTTCAATGAATATTTCCTAGTGGAATGTTTTGAAAACCATTCTAAATGATGACCTTTAGCATTCAATAGTACTTTAAAGCTAATTAACCACATCGCCAATGCTAGGTCACATTGCATGCCTACTTCCACCGGCAGCTCCATGGGATATATGATAGGCAGGGGTAAATGGAATATTTTTTATTGATATTCTTGAAGAAAATTATAGGCATGAAAAGAAGATGATCTGCCTTTGAGATTGATATGTGATGCCTACTTTGGAGGAACATAACCATAATAATTACACAATCATAAAAAATGCAATGTAACCAAACAGCCGCTTATGCCGCAAAATGAGAATCAAGCCAATCACTGAGGACAAACAATTTCAAACCACCAAAACTATATTCTTGCTATTCACCAATAATCCTAAAATAGCGTTCCATGGCCATTATATGCATCTTTCACCCTTACCTCCGACAGATAACTATCGCCACGGGCAGACACACGGGGCGACAAGTTGTTTACAACCGCTACAGTCCGACGAGTCTATCCTCCTCAAGGCTGATTGGCTTGAGTGTGACGTCATTGCTATGACATCATACAGTAGCTGCGGTAGAGAGTATAAACATAGTACCAATATGTTAAATAGTTTGAAATACTTTTTAGCGAATTATGCACTTCTGGCACCGGTTTTGAAAAGAAAATGGAAAATAATAATGTCAAAATAAAAACCAACGATATCTTCATATTTCAAGAAGGTGGCACTTTTCCTTTAAGAGTGTGAAACCTACCTTGACCTTGCGTCCTTGCGTGATGTGATATGCACGGTATATAGAGAACTGTGATAGGTATGTAATGTGGGAGACTTATTGTTATAGTACAAGAAACAATTTGTTTAATATCAAAAACTGTACATACAATAGCACGGCTAGAGACAAGGGCTAGAGACGATATTTATTTCTTATTCACATAACGGCCCACTGTTGCCAGATGGCCGAGCTGAAAATCCTTCAAAACAGCGCTCGAAAACCTCTAGAAACCTCTGATGTCAGAATTTTTGTCAATTGGACACGGCAAAAACCTCTGACTAAGCCTCTGACTAGCTACTTATGATTGCTTCGGTCGAAAATGTATCGTACCGACGGTTGTATAGTCGGTTAAGACTCTGAATCCGACCTGAAAATAGACGAGATTGGTTCTATTACATCAAATAGTTGTACTTTATATGATATAAGTACCTACGCAAAACCGTTCTTTTTCCAGCATGACAAAAAGTATTAAGATGGTTTCAACTCGAGTGCGACCGGAAGACATTTGATTTTTCTCAAACGGTTGATAAAAACGTCTTGTTTTAACCGACTCCGGCTGCGAGCTGGAGTCTGGTCGGAGTCGGTGAAAATGTGTAGATTCTACTTTTTCAGTCATATCTACCGACTCCTCTCGGACCTGTTTCCGACTCAACTCCGCGTCCCTGTAGTATTATCCAAACTACTAACTAGCCATTTTACTATGCCAATTGTCAGGAAAATGTTTTTCGGATGTTAGATCGTTAAATCGTATCGTATCCCCAGTAAACATTCCGACGTCGGCCCGACGTCGGGCCGAGGCTCGGCCCGACGTCGGCCCAACGTCGGTTCAACCTCGGCCCGACATCGGCTGGACGTCGGATATGCCCGCATGTTCCGACGTCCAGCCGAAGTCCAGCCGACGACGAGCCGACGTCGGGCCGAGGTTGTTTGCCGAGGTTGACGAGATCGTTTGTCGTTGGACCGACGGTGCCGACGTCGGCATGTTTATTGGGACAACGCGCCAAAAATATCAACCGGCGGCGGGATTCGAGCCCCCCAGTCGCCGACGTCGGCATGTTTACTGGGACAACACGCCAAAAGCATCACCCGGCGATGGGATTCGAACCCCGTGTCATTTGAACGCGAGGTTAGTGCGTTAACCACTACACCACGCAGCCTGATAGCGAAAGTAGTTTGTTTTGTTGGGTTATGCCCTTTCGGTCTGACAAGGCCATTTCAGAGCCGGAAGGATGATAGGATGGAGACATTGGTCTTCTCGGCGAGCACCCTGGGTCCAGTTCATATAGAGTCCCTGGTCCCATTGCTGTTACGTGACACTTATTGGAAAGGGCGACCCCACAATGGATTCATATAGCCACTCTTACACACCTGCACCAACGTTTCCCAAAGTGTCCCTTTGATAAGTGGCACTTTGGCAAAGTGACACTTGCCGACTGGCCTTCCTATATGAACTGGGCCCGGCCCTGGTGAGTTGCCGGGGCTGAGCCTGACCAAAGGATAGGCCGAGCAGCCCCCAAGCACTCGCCGCACCCGGCTACGGGCGAGCTCGGCTTACGGGCAGTCCCAAATGGGATAAAGTTTCCCGTCCAGTCCGGATCAGGGGGTTGCGGCATGAAGGAAGATTTGAGTTTCCTGAGGATATTTTGAATACAGAAGCTCTTTAGGAAACATGAAACATGTATTTTATATTATTTTAACGGTCAAAACAGCGGCCGATGTCGGTCCGACGTCGCCCCGACGCCGGCCCGACGTCGGCTGGACCTCAGCAATTGATCTCGGTCCGACGTCGGCCCGACGTCGGCTGGACCTCGGCTGGACGTCGGTACATGCGGGCATATCCGACATCCATCCGAAGTCGTGCCGAGGTTGGACCGACGTCGGGCCGACGTCGGCATGCCGATGCCGAGTTGCCGACGTCACCCCGACGTCGGCCGACGTCGGGCCGACGTCGGCATGTTTACTGGGTCGTTAAATCGTATCGTTAAAATTTGTTTCTAAGTACGTATTTGACTACTTAGTGAATTAATACCTAACGCGATAACACAGAAATCAATTATAATTCAGCATAGTAAGTAAATTATAAAAGAAAACGAAAACTTTGAAACCTCTAGAAATCCCTCTGCCCTCTGTTCGTTAAATTTTCCCTGAAACGGACTTTGAAAACCTCTAGATTTGAGGGAAACCTCTGAATCTGGCAACAGTGTAACGGCCTAGTGCTTTGCTCGTGCTGCTATTTCGAACCGTGTTCAATGATGCGTGTATGTGTAGCTTGTGGAAATGTTACAAAAAAATAACACGAAAAAAGAAAATTCATTTAGGTAAGGCTAAACCGGGTGAATAGAAATGTAAATTAATAGAATTAAGAAAACGTCACATTAAAAAAAAACTTTAAAACTATGGAACACATAGGTATTTTTGTAATAAGAAAGGAAGGAAGCTTCCATGCAATGTCTTGCTTGTGCTGCTAATGGAACCGCAGAACATTTGCATTGTATAGGACGCGTCATATTTGGCGTTGGTTTGTAAGCCCGTTCCAGCCCGTTCGTTGAACTCAGGGGCGTCGCCGACGGGGGGGTCGGGGGGGTCGTGACCCCCCCACTCTTGAAAACTGGGGGTGTCGACCCCCCCCACTTTTTGCGATGCTGAGTATGCTTTTTTAGCTTTTATGTCAGTGAAGTAGGCGTCAGCAACACCAACAAATACATCAGATTCAAAATCGCTTCAAGAGCTCCCTAAAGCCAATTAGCCAATTACCTAAAGGTCAATTAGCTGTGGGCGGGAAACACCAGCACAACAATGTTTTTAAGTAGCCCCCATCCTAGTACATTTTTATCCCTCAAAGGATTGGACGCGCCAAAACTGCCCCGAGCGTTCGTCTGATCGTTTAAAAAAAATGGTCGCAGTCGATTCGTCGGATCAGTACCTAACTACAAAACTACAAACTAGCCTCAGCCCCATGGCTACCGTCACAACTAGCTGTACAGTGCACATGTAGGGGAAAGGGAGTCAGATGGAACCGTCTCGGGCTTTCGCAAAGAAGTCGCGCAAAAAGGAGCCGATTGCAACAAAACTTCCGGTGCGCTCGAGTTAATCACCTACTTAAAATAAATCGATATCCCTGATTCAAATAAAGATGACCTTAGTTCACTTTTTCATAACGTGCTTTTAATTGATAGGGTAGTTTTTGGAGCTGATTTTGAACTTAGCGCCCATCTGAACATTTAAGAAGTAGTTGTGTTGCTTATTCATATAACATGCTAGGAAGCAGTCGGTGGTGGTCATCCACTATTAGGTACTGGTCGATCTGACCTGACCTGATCTACCCCAAATGCATGTAGTCATCATCTTCGTTCAAAACTAAGATAACATTCGTAATCGGAACCTCGAAAACCATCACAACTTACATTCGTTAAGTTCTAGCAGGTTCCGAGTTTGTCTACTTATTGGCGATGACCTGAGTCCTGAGATGACCCGAAAACTTGTAAATGGGTATCATCGGCTTTCTCTCGTCACGGGCAGCATGCTCTTTTTTCCGCAAACCTGTAGATCGATCAGGGGTCGAAAGCATGCCTCAGCGTTAGTTTAGTATATGATATACGTTAGCGACTGGGAAACCACCAATAGAAGGGCTACAGTGAAGCAGAAAACTATTCGATAGCTCTTTTAACGCTCTTTCGCTAGCTTCGCGTTAGATTTCATCTCAGGTCTATGTTTGGCCCATAAGAAGGCAAACAGCTTACTGGACAGATTCTGCCGAAACATCTGCTTTGCAATAACTTTCGATTCCGTGAATTTGTATGGTATGTACATATGTTGTCTTGTCACCACCGTCTTGATCTCTTTGAGACGCGTCACATGAGTTAAAATTTGACCATTCAGAATTAACGTTAAAACGACCTCAGGTCAACGTTATGTCCTGATCGAAAAAGGACCTCCTGCTGCATATGAATGGATCCGTGTTGTTGAGCTGAACACTGAGCAGTGAACACCTTCCAGGTGCTGTCATCGCTCTACCGCGTTTTCGTCAAAAGTTGTAGAAAAAAATGCTGGTGGCCATCGATGGACATTTCCACTAATGACCTTTCGAGTCATCACTCGCCATAAGTTGCACCCTGTCCCTGGCAATGATGAGCTGATTTGTCATGGCTCCAAAGATATTTTGCGTTTCTGACGAACTTTTTCAAAGCAGGAGGCATTCGTGCTTTTTCTAATTTCTCATTATTTTCTAATGATGAGGTCACGTATTTGACCTGCCTTCAGATCATAGATGTAAATCCTCAGTTAGAATCATGAATTGCTGACACGTATAACCCCATACATTAGGTACCTATACAGTGTACCAAATTTCGAAGTTATGGGAGAAAAGCTACAAGAATGGCGAGAGGGGAAAGTTTTTATAGAGGTATACCGTATAACTGAACTTGACATGGCGACCTGACCTTAAGTGACCAGTGATAATTTTTACGCAAGTGATGTAGGTAGGTATACCTACCTAATAGGCTATACCAAATTTGGCGGCGCTGCGCGCCGATTTGTTACACACGCACACACACACACATACGCACGCACAAAACTGGGAAGTGTGGCAAAAAAAAAACACCCCTACCCATCGGGTGAAGACTAGAAACCCGACCCCCCCACTCAAATATCCGTGGCGACGCCCCTGGTTGAACTCAAGGCTATGTAAACCAAGGATGCATATTTGACTGACCGACGAGCACGGTTGAACTCAAATTGAACTGGAAGTTGGAACTTTGGAAACCTTCACCTACTGAATTCTACAGTTCCATCCCCTCTTTATTTACATGATGGTGGGCCGCTACCAACTTCCCAACAAGCAAATAATCAAATGCTGCAAGTTCAAGAAGTAGCAGAACACATCAGCACCCATTTTACGGACATGCAACAGTCACTATGTACGCACGGTAAGTAAACGGGCATTTTCCGTCAGAGAGCAATGCGATGTCTCCGTGCTCGATGTCTGCTCGACGCCTATCGGGCTGTGCTGTGTGACTGCACGCCTCTCAGTGTCTTCATCCTCCTGTGGGAGCTCTTCCACCCAATCCTCTTCCCCCTCCGACTCCTCCACCTCGTCGGCCTCCTCCAGCCCGACGAACTGCATCGCCCACTGGACGAACAGGAAGACCCAGTCGTGGATGGCCAGCACCGACAGGCCCATCACGAAGCTGGTCATGCCGGACACGTCGATGAAGAATTCCCAGGCGCCGTAGATCCAGTTCTCCTTGGACACGGTCAGCGTGGTCGACAGGTGGAACGTCACGCTGTGCACCGACTCGTGCTCGATCAGATGGTGATCGTCGTCCTCGTCATGGTGATCGTCGTCCTCGTCATGATGATCGCCATCCTCCTCCTCCTTCTCCTCCTCCTCCTCGTCATCGTCGTGATCGATGCTTTTCTTCCTGGGCACGAGCTCAGTGCCGGCCGGGTGGATGACGACCGAGTACTCGTCACACCGGTGCGGGCACTGTTCGGCACACTGCGGCGTCAGAGGGTAGCGACTCGAGCCGCGAGGAAAGTACACCTGCGCGAACCGCTCGAACGTAGCGGTGAACTCGTCGGCCGAGCGGCACAGCGGCAGCTGCGAGTAGTTGGCCATCCAGGGCCAGGCGGCCTCCGGCGGGTACAGCTGCCGCCACTGGTCGTCGGAGCCGTCGGCGCCCGCCGCGTCCACGTCCACGTGCGGGATCCGCTCAGACGTGTTGTAGATGTACGGGATCTGCATGGGCATGATGCACGTGACGTTGTCGAGCATGCCGCGCGCCAGACACCAGGTGAGGCAGTTGACGTGCGTGTGCGACGAATCGGTGACCGAGTGGTGGTCGTCCATCATCTTCTCCGTCTTCTTCCCGACGACGTCGAGCAGCTGGTGCGAGCGCAGGTCGACCCGGTACGGCACGTGGTCGGCGATCAGCGGGAACTCGGTGAAGTTGCTCCGTGGGTAGACGTACAGATCCACGTACCAGGCGATGCCGAACAGCGCCTCGTACACCGAGTCGTTGACGTAGATCTGGTGCTCCAGTGTGTCAGAGTAACCCCGCGGAAACGTGATGTTGTAGGTATAGTTGCGGCAGATGGCGTACTCGAGCAGAAACGGAATGTCGCTGTGGCGCAGCACCGTATCCGGCACGTTCTTGCCGGCGATGGATAGGCGGTGCCGGATGCCGTCCAGGTACTGGCTGAGCAACGACGGCGTCAGCGACGAGATGCCGAACACGCCGTCGGTCCAGTTGAAGTTTCCCTCCGTGAAGAACTGCCGGTACGCCGCCACACTGTCCACGGCCATGGCGCCGCGGAAGAAGGTCTCTGTCCGGTTGGACTGGCTGTTGAAGCTCCTGTAAGTCTCGTACCGCTCCGGGAAGCGTGTCCACGTTCTGTTCATATACTCGTCCACCAGGTCTCCGGGGATCTTGGGGCCGAAGCAGACGGCCACCTCGAACCACGGCTCGGTAAACTTGGAGATGTAGCGGCGCATCACGATGCCGTTCTTCATGAACGTGTCGTAGCGGTCCTTGACGACGTACAGCAGGCAGAGGAAGGCGAACACGAGCACTGCGATGCGGACGATGGCCAGCAGCGCCTGGGCAACCTTTTTCCTCCACATCGCTGCGAGGTTGGGTCACCTGGAAAACGGTCTCAGTGGTAAGAGTGGCTCAAATGGTGCGCTGTTGGCTACGTGCTGGCAAATGTCGAGTTTCATAGGCTCCTGTTGACTGTGATTTGAGAGGTCATGTAATGTTAGACAATCACCGAGGATTCCAGAACAAAGTGGTCACGCATTACTAACGAACTAAAGGCAATAGAAGGCGATAGAAATTTCGTTTGCAATACGTGCTCCTTTACTTGCTTATGTAACCATCGTAACTAAAATTAATTACTCAGCAACCCCGTAACTAATTTGACCAATCCATCAAATATGCCTGCTGTTATGCATACCTCTATTGGCTGAACATATGGAAGAAAAGAATGGTTGGGTAAAAATTGTAGTGGGTTCGAGATGAATGAAATGCAAAGCAGAGTTAGGCATGAAATGTTCGGACCTGGTTCGGACCTTGTAGAAATTCTGAAATGATTCATGCACTACGCAGGATGCACGAGTCAAGAGTCGTCAGCATTTTGAAAATGATTGCAAAGTTTCCCTTACAATGCGCGCACGTTCAGATATGCAGCGTGACTTTGATCACAGACCACCGCTAAGCTATCAAGCACCGATAGGTAACAGTACAGGTAGCTGCCGATCGGAACTCGGGTCTTCGGAATTCCGTTTTTGTCTGCTGTCCTGTTCTGAATTTGGTTGGACAAATGCAGCTGGCTTTGAACGAAATAGGAAATTCATTTATCATATGAAGCATTGGACGTTCTTGTTCGACATACCTAAATTTGTTTGGTAATACACAACTCAGCTTCGGTGATATCTGATTAAAAACAATTTTGAATCACTAAAAGAGCATGAATAAAGGTAGCACCATTCGATTCTCCTTGAAAAACTGCATCAGATAGACGCCTTATTTAGTCTTAAAGGCCAACATCAGAATTTGACCTTGCTTGACCTTTGAGGTCACCTGACCTCGGCCTGAACTCCATCCAAATATGGGATGGGGCATGGGCCATATCACTAAGTGAGTATGGCCATTGCCCATTGAGTTCTTTGAGTAAAATGACCCATAAACCTGTATCATGCACACCCTATGGAAATGCATGGAAAGAATCGACTTCAAACGACCTTCGTCCCCCCCCCCCCCCCAACCATCGGTTCGTGACGGAGCCCTTGCCTCTAATTGTCAATATTGTTAAACTTTGTTAAATTTTACCATCATCATCTTAGTGTTTCCTTCCATGCATCACTGTGACCGCGCGAATACCCTGTCTCCCCGCAGCCAACTGGTCACGTGATTTAGAGACTAAGTGATATTTATTCACTTGCTTTTGTGTTGTCATCGAAAGTGAATAAATATCACAATGTCTGACACGATACATTAGAGACTAATCTAATCCAGCGTGGCCGGTCGTCTCCGCTCGACATCGATGTCGCGCCGAGAGCTGCCAGCGTTTCCATGACGACGCCGAGCCGCGGCACCGGCGCTCGTTCGTCAAGCAATTTTCTGCTGTCCACGCCGATTGAACGATCGAGCTATTCCGGTCGGTGAGACGGTCGGGCTCGGTCGGCACGGCACCGGTCCTACCCGCCGCCCGGGCCCGGACCTCTGTTCTACTGAACAGAACAGTCCCTCAGAGTTTCGACTCGACCCACGTCCTTTCAGAGGAGCCTCATACTCTTGAACGATGCACTGTCCCTCACTTACTCCGACCCAGCGCTTGTGTATTGTCATACTCATATCACCCTCAGGTGAACCCGGCTCGCAAAACGATCCGGTATTGCTATGATTTGAATGTAACGGACTGAAGCCACTGGTGCGCAGCGCTCCTTCCGATCCAGTCGCCATCGTGTGTCAGTTTGAATATGGATCATGTGTGTCACAGTCAGAGCTGTGTGTCAGCTCCATACTCGCCGCGGTGTACCTAATTATCAATCGAGACACAATAATTGTGTTCGACTGCGTCTTCACGACTGTGGGCTCTAACGAGGGCATAACTGCAGCTTAGATATTACAAATTTAGGCAGCGTAGCCAAAAGCGGTAAATGCATTCGAAAGTTTGCAAGGTCTATCGAGTGCTTCTGTCGTTAGTTTCTAGACGGACGGGGACGGTGTCGCCATTTCGCCTCAATTTGCAGTTATCACTTTCGAAATCATTGGTGAGCTACTGGGCATGGAGCATGAAAAGCTATTTCTATTCTAAAGGAATGGCATAATCTGCAACTAACGATTTACATAATTGACTGTCGGCAAATAGTGGGACTGGATATTTTTTCTTCCACTGACACGTCACCGTGTGTTATGGCTGGTCGAAACAATGACGTCAACTGAGGTCAAATGTTAGAAAAAGAAATGAGAGAAACAAATTCTAGCCATGCATAAGCGATACAAGCGAACAAAGCGAGATGGTTGCTTAGCTTCATAAATTGAGTTGAATATGATGCCACACAACGTTGCCTGGTGACTAGAACGTTCCAGACAAGCGGTCAAAGTAGGGTCCCCGCAGTCCGCAATGTGCACTTGTGCAGTAAATATCGACACAGTATTTAGTACGCGTCTTTGTACCTACTCCGTGCGGACCGGGGATAGAGACCGGTGTGAAAGGCTTTGATTTGAGACACGTGTCCCTGGCACCGCGTCATGACCCCGCTCCATTTAGGTATCAGGGTGACGTGCGGCTGCAGTCGGCGCTGCGAATGAAGCCAGCCGTCACAGAACCGGACAGGTCCGAATTATAACCGGTCACATACATACACAGAAACGTGAACTTATGCATGATAAAGACTCGAGAGTGAAACACAACACGAAAGGTGGAGATGGCAGACGAAAATGCCTCGGGAATGACACACTCGGGGGCGAACTGCTTGATTTTATTTCACAGGCGAGTCAGCTTCAGCGTCAGCAGTGACATGTGTCCTATACACATTTTTAACCGACACACCAGCGAACTGCCTAGCAGTTGCTGTAAGCAAGAGCCCGGATATCGGAGCACAGGTGCTAAGCGGTGCAGCTTCATATCAGGCGCTTACGACTAGTGACACCTAGCGGTAGAGCGAGTAACTACTTTCAAGCTGTGCGGTACAGTATGTTTTCAGGCGCTGAAAACCAATGCCATCTAGGGAGAGAATGAATAACTTTACAGGCATCCAGTTTTGCGGAGCCTTCCGGTGGCTCCCAATGTCGGCTCTCGGACGTGTCCCCAGCTGTCCCACCACGGGTGAGGTAGGTTCTTGCAATTGCCTTAATTAAGGGAAAAGAAAAAGTCCTCCCAGTAGTTGGGCAGCACTGACCACGCAGTGACAGGGAGGAGTGAATAGAAAAAGTAAAAACTGACTGAGGCTGTAGTAAATAGACACCAATAGCATTTGAAATGCACTGAATTGCTGCAGTTCCCGAGTCATGATAGCGAATTGAGAGTTACTGATAGCATAAGCGGTCGGGACATTTCAGCCCCCTTAGCTCCTCTGCATCCGTCAGAAAAATGTGAAAGCTAGCTTGGCTTATGTATTACAGCGCCATGGAAGAATACATCTACAGAAATTTGAAACGAATAACTGTTATATTTTCGGGGCTATTCCGATCCAACACAACCGCGCTAAGAAGTTTAGGTGTGGTTGATGGCACCAACCGTCCCGTTTTACTCTTAATTGGGTCAGTAACTTGCGTTGCAGGTAACCATGTGTACTTATTAACCCGCGCGGGGCTGGGGTCTCCAGCCGAACGCGCGGGGCTGGGGGAGGGGGTAAATTTTACCCCCCCTGTTATCTCCCGAACTAATGGTCCGATTTGGAAAATTCAAACGGCAATCAAAAGATCTCATCACGAACAACTAAAAACATGTACTTAATTTTAAGTTTGAGGTCAAGGTCAAGGTCAGGTCAAGGGTACAAATTGCAAGTTCCTACAGTATCGGCCTTGCACCGTAGTTGCGAAGAATGGAGTCATGGATTGAGACTGATCGCCCAAAACGTGTTCTTAGGCTACCAAGACAATATTCGTTGCATAAAATATCATTCAGAGGTCAAGGTCAAGGTCAGGTCAGGTCAGGTCAGGTCACCAAAAACAAAATATAGAAAAGGGCATGTGCGACACATGTTTTATGGGTCATTTTACTCATAGAATTCAATAGGCACACTCAATAAGTGATATGGACCACCTCTGGATGAATTTCAGGCCGAGGTCAGGTCAAGTGAGGTCAAATTTTGAAGTTGGTTGTTAAGGCCTAAAAAGGTGTCTATCTGATGCAGTTTTTCACGGCGAATCGAATGGTGCTATTTTTGTTTCCGTACGAGGTCTAAAACTTCCAAAAAAGTCATTTTTCAAAAAAATTGTGTGTCGTGACGTCATACAATTTTGAATAACTCCCACATTTTTGAACCGATTCTTCTAAAACCTGGTATGTAGGTGCACATAGACCACTTCTCTTACATATATTCCGGTTTTTTCGATACACTCAATATTTCGGATTTTATAGTTATTTTCCCAAAAAAGTCAGTTTTTTGAAAAAAAAAATGGGCCAAAATCCAAAATTTTTAAAAACCGAGATAGCCATTTGATAGACAAAGTAGAATTACGTATATCCTTTTTTGTTACGTCTCGATTCCTTTAAAAATGAAGAGGTTAGCGGCGTTTGAACTTTTGCCGTTTTTGAGGCGAAAATGGCGAACATGACGTCACTAAAACGTCAATTTCTCAAAAAATTTCCGACGGATTTCGCTCAAATTATCAGGGAACGTGTCAAATTGATGTAGGAAAAGGTACTGAAAGTTTGGCGGCGCTGCGCGCCGCCGTTTTTGAGATATTGCAAATATTCGCGAGGGGGGGTAAAATTTACCCCCCCAGCCCCGCGCGGGTTAACACTCTTAAAGTAAGGCATATTGCAGTGGTAAGACGCAGTTTTCACATCCTTCCTTGGTGGCAGCACGCACGGTCAGCACATGGCGTAATTCTCTCGAATAGGTGGCGGTTGGCGGCTGCGTATTTAGTGTACGTAAGGGGCCGGGCCGGGTCGGAGTAGTGGAAGTGGCCGGGGAGACCGACCGACCGACCGACCGACCGACCTCGACCTGAGGCCTGTTATGCCAGCGGAAAAATCGCCGACCGCCGGTACATTCATAAATCGATAGACTTACAGCTTTATCATTTTAGCGCTATTCTCATATCGGAATCGAACGCAGTACTTCCATTCATATCTTCCACTGACCGACATGTCCCATCGGGGCACACGCTGCCCGAACGAGACAGCGGCGTCGTGGCAGCGGAAACACTTAGCCCGTTCGGGACGTCGTGTATCATCAGGCGGACATGTCGGCCGCGTGGCACCCGTCGTGCCCCCCTCCCCGAACCTCCCCTCCCCCCGGACCGCCTGCGTGACTGCAGAGCGACAACGTCCCTATCGCTCAGCCGTCCTAATAGTGGCTCTTCCGCCGTGCCAGGCCGCCGCACGGGCTCCATTAAATCTGCGGCCGTAGCGACCACGCCCGCGGGCCCGGTCACGGACGGACCGGGCCGGGTCGGAGTGGTGGGTGGTGGTCGGCGGACCGACCAACCAACCGACACCGACCGACCGATCGACCAACCGAACTCAACCCGGGCTCGACCTGACCTGAGGCCAGTTACAGCAGAAAAAAATCGCCGGCTGCCGGCACCTTTATTTATCAACGTCTCCCACAAGCTTAACTAGCCACACGAAAAGAAATAACCAGTGATGCTAGTTAAATCAAATTAGTTTAGCTGGCTCACATACTTCTCTATAGATAGAAAAGCGTGTGGCTGGCTGTTAATATTTTTCACATGAGCGCGTCGCTGGTATACATAATCGGGGAGCGATTTACTGGACTTTTCGAGACGCGACGGTTGCTGCGTTGAAAGCTGCCATGTATGGATGACACAGGTGCAATGTGGAATATTGCCCTTTGATTTGGGATGATTTAAGGGGCCAGATAAGTCACAGACTAAACGCCTAAAAATACAAATAAGCATAAATAATGCCCCTGACTCGTCGAAATATCATTAAGCTGTTTCAATCGTGGGACCGTGGGACAGGTCAGGGCGTTCATGGTATTTCAACATCACGCGTGCAGAAGCAAGCCACGAGTCCTTTGTTTATGGAGCTGTAATCCATGTTTCGTTAGCAGTCTTCTTTTGTTGCATAAACGAAAGCGGCAGCGCTATTAAAACGTACCTAAACGGTACTTAACGCATCCGAAATGGCAGGTAGTTATAACATTTGTTTAACCCTCGCCGGCACAGGCCATTTTGCGTCCTTCGACGGCACAAGGGGGGGGGGTGGTACGACCCCCTCCCGCGTTTGGCCCCTGATCGAGCTAGCGGAAAAAACGAGCGTGTTGCCCGTCACGAGAGAAAGCCGATGATACCCAATTTTAAGGTCCTAGGTCATCGGGTGACCTTCCAGGTCAGGTCAATGACCCGAATACCGGGAAAATCGGGACCTGTTAGAAAGTCGTAAAGTGTGGCTGCAATGAGGTTTTCCGGGGTGCTGATCACGAATACCGTGTTAGTTTTGATCAAAGATTATGTCTTTAAGCATTTAGACCAGGTCGGGTCAGGTCAGGTCAGGTCATTCGGTAGGGGTTGTGACGGGTATTCGTAATACGTGTCAACCGCCTCTGACAGCTTCGTAACATGTTACGAAGGCACCAGAACTACTTCGTAAATGCTCAAATGGTTGCTAAATTCGAAATCAGCTCCAAAAACTAGCCTAAAAACATGTAAAACTCGAAAAAAGTGAACCAAGGTCACCCGAGGTCACCAAAGGTCAATGGCCTGACCTGACCTTCAGGTGACCTTGACACCCACCCTAATGTATGGGAGCAACATCAAATCACATGTTTGAACGTTTGAAACCACGAAAAGCTTGCAAACGCGTGGCTAATGCGAGCCGACATACGCCGAATCGCGATTCCGGCCAAACATGGTCTCGGAAAAGAGGTCACAGGTCAAAGGTCATTTGGGTCAGGGCCATGAAATTTTCAGGGTAGGTGTAAAATTGATCAATGCGAGGGTACTGAAAGTTTAATCGCGATTGGCCGCTTTTTACGCGAGGTATTCGCGAAAAACCTTAGGGGGGTTGCATCACCCCCCTTTGCCGGCGAGGGTTAAAGAAAGGACGGCAAGTAAGCAAAAAATACCATAGATAAATGAATGAATGGATGACTCGGGGTTATTGTTTCACAGGGGTCTCGCCTTTTTTACATGTTTTGTCTATGTTTGGAAGTTATGTAGTTTACTGATTTATTGAAGATTATTCACTCATTGGTAATTCCAAGTGGGGCACTTGGGGCAAATGTTCCCCCTGTGGCCTACAGCGCCCGAAATTGATGAAATTTTGTCGTTTTCCTAGAATAGAAAAAGAACCAAACATTTTTCATGCAGAAAATTTTGTGTTTAACTGCACCGCAGTGCATACAAAATCGAAATCTCGGGAGTTTTTAGAATTTGGAGAAACTTTTTTTGGGTATGCCCCCTTCCCGTAGCGTTTGAGGCCACCTGAATTCTCCTATGAAGGTCATTGCTGCATTGAACGTCCTAATTTTTGTTTCAACCTTCTTGGTAACGTGCTCTCAAATGCAACTGCTCTCTAGGTTTTTATAACAAACACGAATGAATCATAATGCATATCTAGATTTAGCGGACAAATGTGAAGCACAAACATGTAGACACCTATTAAACCAGCTTCCATCTAATAATTTCTGCAAACGATAATCCGTACTTCATTGCAAGGCCCTAATAACCATATTACCTCGTACGATGTCTGCTATGCATATAATTAATTATGATATTCGTGACTGCGGAGCTTGGTCGGCTGATCTAGAGGTCCTCATATTGACCTGTCGCTGAGAATGGATCACAGGGGGTCGGCAGACGGGCGGCCAGGGAGGGACGCCGGACTATCTGTTCGGTCGGCGATGACGGCGCCGTTAATCTGTCGCTCGTCACTCGGGCGGGCAGCCGGCCGGCACGGGCGGCGCCGCGGCGTGTGGGAGCCGTCGGCGCCGACGGCCGCCGCCGCCAGGCACCGTCGGCGGCGACGGTGCGCGGCGCGCGCGCCCGGGGATCGATGGTCGGGCCGTCGGCGGCGGCGGCGGCGGCGGCGGCGCTCAGTCGGTGCCGGCGTCATGGCGCTGCTGGCCGCCGCCGCCGTCACGGGGCCGGGCCGCCGCCGGCGGCTGGGCGCGCTGGGGCCGCTGGCGCTGCTCAGCGCCCTGCTGGTGCTGCTGGCGCTGAACGGTGCGCCGCCGCCGCCGCCGCTCGCCGTCCGGCATGGCCGGCACCTGCTGCAGCAGGAGCAGGAGCCGGACACGTCACCGGCGCCCGGCGCAGACGAGGAGGAGGACAACCTCTTCCCGAACGACCTGTTCACCAAGGAGCAGCGCCGCACGGGCGCCATCATCCTGCACGTGCTCGGCATGATTTACATGTTCGTGGCGCTGGCCATCGTCTGCGACGAGTTCTTCGTGCCCTCGCTGGACGTCATCACGGAGAAGCTCAACATCAGCAACGATGTAGCCGGCGCCACCTTTATGGCCGCCGGAGGCTCAGCGCCCGAGCTCTTCACCAGCGTCATCGGCGTGTTCATCGCCAAGAACGACGTCGGCATCGGCACCATCGTGGGCTCTGCCGTGTTCAACATCCTGTTTGTGATCGCGATGTGCGTCATCTTCAGCCGGACGGTGCTGGAGCTCACGTGGTGGCCGCTCTTCCGCGACGTCTCCTTCTACGGCGTGGCGTTGGTGATGCTCATGGGGTTCCTGCTGGACGCCCAGGTCAACTGGGTGGAAGCGCTGATTCTGTTCATGTGGTACATCGTCTACTGCATCTTCATGAAGTACAACGCGCACATCGAGCGCCTGGTGAAGACCCACCTGGTCGGCAAGCGGGTCAGCCGGGTCCGCAGCACCGACCACCTGGTCGCCAACGTAAGTCCTGCCTCTGACCGTGCGGGTAGCACAGCGCTCTCGGACGGTGTGCATCTCTTTACACCCGAGCATTGAATATTTATACTATGGCTGAGTTTTGTGGAATGACGGTTTTGTGTTTTTTTCTGGGTCAGCACTCGTCCTATATTTTGAATTTGTATCCCACTTTTTTAAGGACCACTTTCGGGCCTGGCTTATGAGATTTGGAGCTTTGAGTTTTGATGTCTCATTGGCCTGACTTTGAAAAAAAAAGAATAATCAAAACAATTGAGTTGCACTTCTTGCTTTCCTCGTCTGATTATAATACAAACAGCCCCTCTAATTTCTTTTTGTGGAGAGTAAAATAAGTAGGTATAACGATTGTCTGAGATCGCGTATCTTCCTTCTCCTCCTAACCGGTGGCAACTTCGGCCTTGGGTTTAGATGATTCAAAACCTCTACCATTCTAATTTATGGTTTACAATTCAGCATTGACACAAATATTTTGCTTTTCGGTGTGTAAAATTTAAAATATGTTTTGCAGCACTATCGAATACGTCTTTAAACATTTATTTCGCAGTTTTTCTGGAGATTTTTGATGATGAAATATCAATAGGTATAGCATTGATTAGAAATTATCCCTAGCCCGCACGTGGGGGGGGGGGGGGTTGTATGACTTACTATCTAATTCATTGATGTAGTATTTACAGTTACGTGTCACGTGGTAACCTATGCTGGTGCGCAAATGCTATCCTTACAAGAGTCCATCCCCGCATCAAACAGACGGGTCATGGGGTCATCGCCTGTCCGCCGTAGGTATGGTGAAGTTTACTTGCTACAGGTTTGTGACTTGAAACCTAGGACAAACCAACCTTCACTCTACAGAATCCACTCAATTTGGCTATTTTAATTATAAGGGGCTAATCTCAAGACCGTAACATTTTGATATTTATCAATATGGTATCATTGGCGAGAGTCGTTAGTTAATAGTTACATTAAAATGTGTTGTGTGAATATTCCAATTGATAAACAAAGTGAAAACAACGTATCTTTAAAAACGATTTGGCCGACGGGACCACACACACTTCGCAGGCTATTTTTGTACTTGTCGGATACAAAGGGCTCCAGTCGACCCTTTACTCGGCCACAGTGATCGGGCGCGAGCGCTTCTGCCTTTGCATGCGGGCCGGGCCGCAGATAGAACGTGGCCGTTGACATTTTTCAGACGCCGGCAACCATTTTTGACGTTAGTCTGTACGCCTGTGTGTTTGTATAGTGTTTGTGTTTGTGTCCGTGTTGGGTGCCGCCGCTGCGGCTGGAACCGTGCAGCGTTTCTGTCTTGTGCCGTACACGGGTCGAGTAGTTAGCCGGTGACTTTCCCGGGCGCGCCGCGTCTGGTGCCGTGTGTCGCTCGTGTAGCCGATGCCTCGTTTGGTTCTCGTCTCCAGGAGAAGCGCCTGTTCACACCGAGCCGGCAGCGGCCGTCGTTCCCCTCGGACGTAAGCTGCTCGTGTGACCGTGCCTGGTGACTGAGCCGGCCCCGCTCCCGGGGACAGAGAGACTATCTGTGAGCCCGCAAGATGAGCTGCAGCCGTCTGAAAACAATATGACCAGCGCTAATTGGCCCGGAACCGTGGAACTCGGTCTCGCAGCCGAAGGGACTATTCCCAGTTCTCCATGTTATCCAGCCGACGGGACTGTTACCGGTCCATAAGCTGTTCAGCCGAAAGGAGCCCAGCTCACAGGTCTGGCAGTCTTCTCTCCCCGGGACGGAGGCCGGATCAGTCGGAAACTGTCGACACAACTCTTAGCTCTGACACCCTGCATCAGACGCATTACGCACCCTCACCATCGTGTGTCTGTACGCCACGTCTTGGAGTCCCTGTTCCAATGCATGCTCGTTCAGCAGCCCGCTGAAGCCTTTCTCTGATCCACTCTGCTGCATTCGCACCTTCATGGCTGGTATTCACCCTTCCACTGAAGCTATTGGTCACACAGTTTACCGGCAGTTGTCACTTTTCAACAAGCACAATATAATATGTAAAGTGTTATTGTATAATGATTTCTTAAATTGCAGCCCATTAACGCTATATTTCTAATAGCACACACAAACAAATGACAGTTTTTAGCAACTGTATTATGCGATGTGCTTCCAATATGTTTCATGTGATTTGGACAACAAATGCTTGCAATACGCTGAGAAGCCACATTACCTTTAGCCGCGCGCGGCGCTCTGGTCGGGACAAGCCTCTGATCAGAATGCACAAATAATCCTCAGCAGCTTCATGAGGATGCAGTTTATGTATCTATGAGTATCTATGAAGCAAAACATGCACAAAAAGTGAGCGCTGCTTTCACAATGGAAAAAGGAGCCTGAAGCCCGGATGCCTTCCATCCCTTTCCATTCTCGCTCACCGATGTCCTCGATTTTGCCCCGGAGCAAACCATCCTAGCAGACATCTGAAAGCACAGACCAGACTCGGTCTGCCGGTGGCTGGCAGACCCCGCCTGCTGCACCATACCGCTTTCTCTCAGATGGGAGATACTGGTGTCTGGTAGCCAGGCGGCCCATTGCGTACTTGTCCTGCCCAGACTCAGTCGTCCAGTGCTCTGGTCGGAAGGAGAGCACATCTTTGTATCGATTCTTTATAAAACTGTCAGGAGGAACGCACAGACACCTGTCGTATACCAGAGATTAAGGCGCAGGCCTCTCAGCAGGGAGGCTGGCCTCCTTTATCCGTCTGAACTATGGGGAGAGGGAGCTAGATCCCGCCTCAGATTTGTCGTGTGACGAGTTTTCAAATTTACTTCCAATGACCTATCAGAGGTTACATGTAGGTAATCTGCTATGAGGGTTGAAGACAGAATACAGACCCATGCCTCGTGACCTGCCAGTACCTACGAAGGATACAAACTTATTTTGTGATTTGTTAGAGACTACAGATCTGTCATATTGCCTGTTAGATGTTAAAGCGCTGTCAGGAGACCTTCTGGAGGTCTTAGACCTCATGTCTATGACCTATCCACAGCGGCCGCCACCCGGAGGGACCGCCCGCGCCGGTGCAGGGCAGACACCGGCCTCCACCTCCCAAACGGGGCCCGCAGCGGTGAGAGGTGTTCACACGACTGCTCTAACCATACTAGCATCGCTAATATTATACTTCGTGACCATACCATACCATAGTAACCATACCTTGCCATTACCATTATAGCCATACCATTATACCATTATAACCATAGTAATAATACCTCGTTAACCATACTAAAAATACTAACACTTTGACAAGGTGAGAGGAAATGTACCTAATAAACCCTATGGCTATGGTGGTGGCTAATAATAATGGTGGCTCAAAGCTACGACGATTTTATTATCTGTAGACTTCCACACGTTCGGTTATCTGCCTTGATGCATGCCGCTTTTATGCTTGTTTGACGTGCTGTTGAGTGTATTGGGTTACCTTTGATGCTGAGTATCCACTGACCACGCACACGTGCTGGCAATCTAATTAAAAAACAAGCTGCTCACGAAATCAGTACGTAATGTGAAATCAATGAAATTAAATGATAAAATGAAATGCGATGTGATGACATTTGAATCTCTAACACAAAACCATTGCGATTTGTGATTCATTTCTCTTAACCCGCGACCTGGTGGGGGGGCTATTTTTTGCCCCCCCCCCCCAGACTTTTCGATATATCTCCAGAACCGCTGCGCCGATCGTCACCAAACTTTCAGTACCCTCCCGGACATCAATTTTACACATTGTGACAAAAAAAATTTCCAAAGGCTATGATAGGTTGGCCGGAAATGACGTCAGAGTGACGTCATGTTCTGCCGTTTTCGACCCAAAAAAGGGTTTCGCAGGAAGAGCTGTCAGGCCTATAGCTTTGCAAATACAGAAAAATGATAAAGACATAAAAGCTGTAGAATCAACAGGGCTACAAAACTGCTATCTCGGATTTTTGAAATTTTTGGATTTTGACCCCCAAAAATCCAAAAATATTTTTTTTTTTGGAAATAATAATCGAAAAATCCAAAAAGTTTTTTAAATTTCGCAAAAACCGGAATATATGTGATAGTCCTTACCGCCTTCCATCCACATACCAAATTTGAGATTGATACCTCTTTTTTGGCGAAGTTATAGCGAAAAAACTGTTCAAAATTGATGACCTCAAATTTTCAAACTCAATTTATAGCAATTCTAGACCCCGTAGCGCAAAACAAAGGCCACCATTAGACTCCCCGTGACGAGCTGCATCGAATCATTACCCATTTTATGCAAAACTATCAACTTTGAAATTTGACATTTTTTGGCCTGACCTTGACCTGACCTTGACCTGAACTTTACCAGAAAGTGATCTAAGCCGTACCTGATAGTCTTATAACCAACACCATTGAGTTGGAGATGAAAAATTGGCCATAAAACATGCATCACACAACCTTAGTAAAGTTGGGCTCATGTGACCTGACCTGTGACCCTTGGTGACCTGACCTGTGACCTGACCTGGTGTTGTCAGTGACCTCTTATAGCAACATATCTACTAGGCAACTGACGCCCTATCGCTGATTCTCGACAAAATGCGTTTTCCTCGGTGTTATAGCGCATTCCCTAGAAGACCCGTGAACGGTGAAACATTTCATCTTTGACCTGACCTGTGACGTCATCGGTGACCCCGAGGTCAATGAAATTTGGTTTCCCTCGACGAATTTGACAGGCCTTTCGAACGCCGTTTGAATTTTGCGGATCCGTCCAGTGTTTCGGAGATACAAGGGGGGCAAAAAATAGCCCCCCCCCCCCCCCCCCACCAGGTCGCGTTATAAACAGACCCCACCAGGGCGCGGGTTAACCCGGTCACCGCAGGGCCTCCGCGCCACCCGCCGACCGCGGGGGGGAGGGGGGCAACTATGTAGTTGGCCCCCTTTATGTACTTCTGTGGCGATATATCCTTGCTATGCAAAGAGATAGCTAAACGAAACTTTGCACACATTTCTGCATTGCTAGCTGAGGTTATGTTCAAATTTGGTGTCGATCTCATTTATAATAACGTCACAGTGACGTCAGAAGTCCAATTATATATTGGCGTTCCTTAGTTTCCTCACGATATACCTAGCCGATATGTATGGAATGTATGGGACCGAATATATAATAGGACCGATCTCCGGTCAGGAACTATAGTTGAAGATGATCTTAGATGTGTCAGTATGACAGTAGGTGCTGTTAAGTTCATTCCTACTGTTTCGTGTCATGCTCAGTGACATCAGGAACGGCTCCGCGTCAGAAAGACGACAAAGCCTTATGACGTCACTGTGACGTCATCTTGAGAGCTACAACCACCAAATTTTACTCAAATATGGCCTAGGTGTTCATTTGAAGTAGACCAAGTTTCAAGCTCATATCTTATCAGGTTTCGGAAATAGCACACAAAAAGTAAAAGCGGAGGGGGGGAGTGTTTATGACTTATGCTTTTACCAGATCTCTAGTAGAAAGCAATGCTCTGATATTTAATTCAATTAGATCTTTCGACACTATAAAAGTGTTGTATCTGTTTTTAGATTACATAACCATGGAATCAGAAAGCCGTTCCTTAGAAAGCCGTTTCCACAGATCCAGCAAATGTTTGCGAGATATTATATCACGCTAATTTTGTTGTGGTTGCTTGTCAACCGTGGCGAGGACCTTTACTTTATAGTTTAACACCAATTTTACATTTGAAATGCTAACATTTAATTTCAGTTACCTACATGCACTGGGATGACATCATATTTCGTAACGTAAAGCATTTCATATAAAGACAATGCAAAAAAACATAACCTTTAAATTTCATCTTGTGCCTCCTCCTTCCCTCGTGCGCCATTTTCAATATCAGCGCCTCCATAGAATACCGTGTAAGGCACAATAAACATCGGAAGTTAATACGAGTATGTGTCGGTGAAGCGACGTAACAAGTTTCAGAGTAGCTGCATTACTCATATAAGCATATAGGCGGCGCCAGACCTATTTAAGCCTGACGCATTACCAGGCGCCTGAAACTAATGCGAGTAGCATTCATAGACCTCTGAGTCAAATAAGAAAATATTAGCTTTCACCGCCCTCGTCGAATTCAATTGGGTAATATTTTTTTATGTAATATATATAGCTTTCAGTTGTTGCATACCGAACTGAATATGTCACTATGTGATTTTAGTGATAAATATTAGCTATACCTACTGTTTACTTCGTCTTCCACTTGCAACTGAAAGTGTGCACTTTTTTAAAACTGATAGTTACATGCAGCATGCAATAACTTACGTTGTATTGATCGCCATGCCTACCTGTGCTGACCATTTATGATTTAAACTCCCTATTGCTCTCAATCCAAATGCTTAGCAAGATTAACCCGCGCACCGACGGGGGGGGGGGGCGGATATCCGCCCCCCCCCCCTGAGGTTTTTCGCGGATAGCGGGAAAACCGCGGCGCGGCGCGAAATTTGGTACGACTATTCTCTCATCAATTTTACACATGGTGTGCAAGTTTGAACCTCCTAACTTTTAAGGTCAGGTCACCAGGTCACTTTGAATGACCCAACCTCAAGTCTCTTTTTTGCAACTTTGTCACCGTGCCAGAGCTACAGTAGATGTCGGAGGCCTTTGAAAGTCGCAGGATGTTATTAGGTCATTAGTAGCTACAATTTGTATATCTCGGAATTTAGATGTCGGTGACCTAAGGTCAGGTCAATTTCGCGACCTCCCCATTATAAGTCAATGGGGGAAAAATCAACTCCCTGTTTTTACCACTAAAACGGGTCGGAATGGTCCCATATACCATACATGACTTCATATACGATCAACCTTCACTACCTTGAGGTCTGTTTTGCTGTTGGGCAGCTGTAAGGTCATGTGACGTCATCAAAGGTCACCCAAGGTTTTTTGTCAATAACTCCGTACAGGAACAAGATACAGCCGCGCGGATGGTCTTATTGTGTTCAGCTCGTCAAGACGCATCGAATGATATACATGATGACCTCGAGGTCACGTGACCTGAGGCCAACCTTTGACCTTGACCTTTCGAGGTCAACATATATATCATTCGATGCGGATTGACGAGAGGATCACGATGATGCCCTTAGTTTGTTCTTATCTTGACTAATTCGATAGTTATTCGAGAAAAACTCTCCATACCTAGCGCCGCCATTTTGACTTTTTCGACCCCTGTGACGTCATCTTTGACCTGACCTGAAAATGACCTTTGTAAAAATTGTAGACCTTGTCCGTGCGTATCCGATGCCGTTTACCGCTTGTCGCTATCTTGCTTCGTTCTCGAGATCTCAGGGGGGGGGCGGTCATCCGCCCCCCGTCGGTGCGAAGTTGGCGCAGACCCCCGTCGGTGCGCGGGTTAAGTGATTGACTTGTAATACTTATGTAAGAAAATGTCGATTTTGCCCCATGTGCTATACTGCCGAGCGTGACGCTTATTTTCAACTCCCTTCATCCTGCGTCCCCTGTTGTCTGAAAGGGTCTCGACTAAGGCGACTAACGCATGGTGTTCTGAGCACTCATCGTATGCTTCTCATGGCCGCTTACCTCCGCTCGTCTCCTATCCGTCCCTGGTCTTTGGTTTGCTCTCCGCTCAGCTGCCTCAATCTCCGCTGCTCTTTATCACCGTTTATCGTCTGTCCCCAGCTGGTTGTCTCTCGTTCCGTTTAATTCGTCTCTCGTCTCCGTTTAATTTGTCTCCGGTCTCCGTTTCAGCCGGGCAGTCAGCAGGGTCTGACGCGCCGGCCGAGCACCCCCATCATCCACTCGGGCTCCAAGTTCCGCCAGGGCCTGCTGCAGCTCATGATTCACTCCATTGACCCGATGCACAACGGTAAGTCGGGACAGGTGCTGCGAGACCGTGCCAGTAATGTGACCACTCAACTCAGCTGACCCGTCTTGGTCTTTGCGCTCTACTTTATCATGCAAGAATTCACGATAGATATTTAGCGTTTCAATTAGGGCATGGGATGAGAAATTTGAAGCGACCTTTTGCCATATTCTTACTAGACCATTGCGCCAATAGTTGTGCAATATGCAATATGCGTGCATGTGGTTACATGTATAAGCGCTAAATAATGCAGACGGCAACATACTTGAGGTAGGAATACCACATATATTGACTGCGGGAGGTTCACGAACGCTGCATATAACTTGCAATTACCACGTCTAATCACAGGTAATGCTGTGCCAAAAGTGCTTTAAACAACCCTAAAACACTTGTTAGATCGGAAACACGACCTGCACGCTGCACACAGTTCTTCTTTTTTAATGATCCAGAATATCAACATGACTGAGCGTAGGCACCACTGGACATGTTTATTGGTTGCTAACGGTAACAGCTCAGTAGCGATAGCTGACATGTTTAACGGTTGCCAGTGGCAACCGCGGCAAGCACTATATGCTTTTCCTGACTGACTCCGAGCTGGAGAGGGGCTGGCATCTCGGCAATCCAGTCTGTATGGCGCATCCCATCGCGGGGACGGATGGAACCATTTCAGCACATAATTGAGGCCACTGTTATCATCGTTGGGATGTGCTCATTGTTTTTTTTTATAGTTATATCAATTTTATGGAGAAACGTATTCTTAAGAAAAGCAATCTATCGATATTGCAAAAGTAGTGTCATTTAAACAAAAACGATCATCTTGTATTTTACTTCACTAGTATCACTGTAGGATAATAAATGAAGCATGTGCACTGCGCCGGCGTAGAACTCGTCTTTATACCTACATACATGCCCATAAAGTACGGTGTATAGTGTATATGTAAGTGCAATGTGCATGGCAAAACTGTTACATATATGCTTACATAGTCTTATGGCACACTTAACGTTGTGCCCATCTTTGTTTACTGATGATGTCGTGTTATTTTCAGGAAAAGTTGACGAGAAGGCAACGCAGCTTCATGCCATTGCGTCTCTGAAAGTGCTGCTTGATACAACAAAACAAGACTTGAAGGATGGAAAACTTCAGGTAAGCAGAGCGCTTATGATGAGGATATCTTTGTTGCTTACGATGCTGTTGATAATATTCATAAGTTCCGACCGATGTTCTTGCATGCAATATTATCCCGCCCAATATCTGGCCCAAATAATTTAAAAAAGAGTTATCTGTCTTGTCGAGTAGGAACTGGACACATCGAGGAAGTTTTGACGGTCGCAGCATGAATCCTTTGCTGTTGACATCCTCTGGCTGAATAATTTGATGGTCGGTTGACTATGCATCCTTTGCGTGTGATTCATTGTTCAAGGGCCAGATGTGGCTATTCCACTTTTGAAGCTGATAATATTGTAATGAATAATGAATTTTAAAAAGCTAGCTTAGAAAACCTCAAATTTCGGATAACAGTTTGGTTTCAAATAATATTTACTTACGTTTGCTGCTTTTTATTCATCGAATATTATTTTTACGTTTATTACTTAATTACCGAAAGGTATTTTTGTGATTTTGAAATAATTTCAAAAATATTTATCAATTATATATCCTAATATTGTGCAGTTATTATGTTATTAATGGGATTGTATTTAAAACAGTGCAAACATACACGCCTGAAAGGCTCCGTATCTCATCTTAAATACACCTGCACACATGTGCAGGTGTATTTAAGATCTCTTTACCAGGCTGTCTCTTTTTTTCATACATCATCATTTATTACGACAAACCACATTTTACATGATCTCATGTCACAAACGCACGACGTTCCAGCGCCCTCAAAAAGCTCCTGGCCCCTGTCTTCCGCTCACTCCGCACCAAACTAGCCAACATAATATAAACATCCATAACAAAATAGCATTTGCCTACGAGCTGACCTCATGGCCCCCTACCGGACTGGACACCGGACCGATTCCTTCTACGCACCGGTCTCTCTCGCACGCGCTCTCTGACTGACCACATACTCTTTAACCACAACGAAACAGTGACAAAAGCATGGATATGACAAATCATAAACCCAGAGATGAAGATCTAAACAACATAGTTAGCAGAAACACACACCATCGTCCGTAGTGCGTGGCGGCGACGGCGGCGCCGCCGGCGGCGGCAGCTGCCCGGCCGACCCGACGACGGGCGCGGCGGCGGCAGCGTACACGGGACCTTCATGCGGTCACCTGTTTAATCAAATATCGGGACTGCATGCCCTGCCCCGCCCAACAAACCGACGAAGCTCGCTGCACATGGCTGTAGTAGGTATTCCAATTTTATTTTGTGTTTCTGCGATATGTGTAGTGTGCTGACTTTTGATTATTAGTCACCGATGATTTTCCTAGTTTGTTGAGTTTTGGTTTCTTTGTCGGTCACCCATGTTTATGAGTGACCCCCACTTCTTTTTGAAGTAGTCTTGCTTGCCGGTATGTTCAGCTGCTTTGCTTTCCACTTCAAGTTCTTGTTTTATTTTGTTGTGTAAGTGAATAAAATTTGGTGAGATCTCTTTCATACGTGCTGAATAAATGACTAGCTTTGCTAATGTTATTATGCATGTTTCTCTTGCGCTTATGTCTTTGGGAAAAAACCACAGTTTAGGATCTAAGCTTAAGTTGATGTTGTATTTGTCCAATATGTCCGATTTCACCGCGTTGATAAACTGCTTTGTTATCGGACAGTACCAGAACAGATGAGCTAGTGTTTCCGGCTCCATGCTACAAAAAGTACAACTTTCACTAGCTTTTATTTTTATTATATTTAAATATTTATTTGTAGCGAGGATACGATTAACGAGCTTATAATGGAAAATCCTTATGTGTGTTGACTTTGTGGCGTTATTAACCTCAAGGCAGCTATGTTCGTCATAGCATCCAACATCTCTTATCCATTTCTGTTTTTGTCTTTCGTCAGATTCTCTTAGCTCTATCTTTCTATGTTGTACTAATTTAGTGTAGGCTAAACGAGAGAAATTAGCCTCGTTCATTACCAAATTCATTCTGAATGGAATCGTCGGTTGACATATTTTGTCTATTACTTCTGACTTCATGGAGCTGGGTAAACTTCGAATCAAGCTGGTATAACAAAGAATGGTCATCTTTATGTGATACGCTCTCTGTAAGCTCTCTTTTGTGTGCAACCGCCCCGTATTTTCGTCAATCAAGTCGCCCAGAAATCGTAAACCTTTTGTTTGCCAACTTTTTATGATGGAGCATGTGAATTTGGTATAGTCTGAAAACCATATGTTTTCAGACATTATTTCTGGCGTATCTAGTCGGTATGTGCTAGTGAAATATGCAAATGCGCCCAATACATCTCTCCAGAACGGGTTGCTCGCTTTACTACTTATTTTTTTTTCAGATATTTACTTCCATATGAAAAAATATCTTGTATGTTTGTTACCTCTACCAGGCTGTCTCGATAGTTCGTTATTTTCTCGCGATTCCGGCGGCGAGTGTCGGGTCTGTCCTGGGCTGCCGTTTTTATTTGCCGAGTGTCAAAGAGCACCGGCTTAGCGCAGCTTCTGGAGATGAAGCCGGACCGCTGCTCCGGCCCGGCTATTGATAACGATAGTCTATAAATGTCGCCGAGCAGAGCGAGCTGACTCCATGGCCTGAACGCAAGCCGCAACAGTGACGCATTGAGGGGCCTGACGCATTGACTTTTTTGTGGGATTATTGAATGGCTGCAACCGGACCTTGTAACCAACATATTGCGGTGTGGACATCTGACTAGTTATTGTTGACAACTCATTGCTACCACACGTGTATTCACTAATGTACTTACATGTTTCATTAAGTCGATAAATTAGACGTCAAACTTTCACGCTTTATAGAGTCTTCTGACACTACTTATTATGCTTAGCTCGATGCGTAGACATCGAGCATACACTTTTGTATACCGAGGTATTCAGAGGTGTATTCTCGATGCTGAAAATCATCTATAGGGAAACACAAGTAAAAAGTTACAATACGTGTTTGAGTTCACATGCGTCCCTAGATAATCACATATGTACTATACATATGTAGGCGTGCACCCCGCTTCATGTATAATTCTCCTTGCTGCGTTATTCTCATGACTCATTTCCAATGCCGAGTATAAAAGGTGTTTATTTAGCGCCTGTTGGTTGTGTCAACGCCGACGGGCTCCATTCCACACCACGGAGGCGGGGCCGGCCGGATCCGGTTCGGTTAGCGCGGCGGTCCGCCTGCATTGTCCTGCTGAGGTCGACCGTGGGTGAACCGAGCAGCGGGGGCGGAGCGGGGCGGGGCGGGGCGGGGCGGGCGGCCCTGACCATGACGTCATCCATGCGGCGGCCATTGAGCAGCGGCGACGCGTCCTATCGACCCGGCATTGACCCCGTCCAGTCCACACCTGGCACCCGGGGACGGGCTGCCCGAGACGCTGCGTTGGAGCTGCTCTGCGCCACCCGCCCGAGATGCTGCAGCCGCCGTATCCTATCCTCCCCAGATGCTGGAGCTGCCCTATCCCCATACACTGGACCCACCCTACTTTATACCTACTCCCGAGAGGCTGGAACCGCTCCACCTCACCCGCCCGAGACGCCAAAGCCGCCCTAGCCCATCCAGCAGCGGCCCGGCACCGTGCAGACCAAGCACAGATTGATGGATGGGGCAGTGATAGGACGCCGTAAATAATACAAGCCCGCCGGCTCCACCAGAGCAGCCGACTGAAGGTCGGCGCTAAACGGACACCAGCATTGTTCAGAGCATGGCATCGGCGACGGGCGGCTGGAGGTCTGCTGTTGGGACAGGTTGTCCTGTCACTACAGTGCCCCATGACAGGTTGTCCTGTCACTGCAGTGCCCCATGACAGGTGCCCCTGCCACTGCAGTGCCCAATGACAAGTGCAGCTGCCACTCCTGAGCGCGATGACAGGTATCCCTGCCACTGCTGTGTCTATGACAGATGCCGTGCCCTTCCAGTATGTACCTAATGACAGGTGCCACTGCCACTCCAGTACCTAATGACAGGTGCCACTGCCATTCCAGTGCGCGGTGACAGGTGCCCCTGCCACTCCAGTGCGCGGTGACAGGCATTGAGCAGGTGGCTGAGTGTCTGCCACCCACCGCGATGTTCCAACAGACCAATCGGCCTGTGGCCAGTGGGCGGCCGAAGTTGCTACGATACACAACACATGTCAGGCACTGGCATACCGACCACTCGCGGTATCACTGCGCTGAGTATAGTTAGTGGCATTCCAGCTTTCATCCGGAGGGTAGCTGATGTAAGATGGCCGCCTCCATGCATTTAGATTATTTCTGGATGCTTCCTGGAGTGTTGACTGATAGCGGAAATAAGTTATTGTTATTATCTACGAACAAAATTTGTGTTAGCGTAACACTGAGGTAGTTTATTAACACAACGATTAAGCATTGTTTATTCATTTTACATTTAAAAGCCATTTATGGAATAGCATTTAAAGGTATGATAATGCATTTCTCGAAATATGTCGTCAGAACTGACCTCAAGTCAACAGAACCATACCTAACAGAACAAAAAGGTCACCTGCGGCTGCCGTTTTGTGTCGATTTTTTTTAAAATATGTATTCAAAACTGATGATGCAAGACATCAGCTTGCATGAGAATAAAAAGATTTAAATTTATTCCTCCAAACTATCCTCTGTTTTCCTAAATTTCTTCCTCAGAAGCGGCTCTATCCTACCGGCGCGGCGCTGTCAAACAGGGCGCCTGCTAGGTAGACTGTACCGCCGCGCCGATCGGTGCTCCGGGTCAGCCTACCTCTCAGGGGCCCCATCCGAGCGAACCTGCCGCTACCCGCCGCGCCGGCCGGCCGGACCCGGATACGCATTACAGCGACTCGAGGCGACACACATCGAGGCCCCGGCGCTGCCGTCGATGGCCCGTCGCTCCCACGTCAATATTGCAGCGTCTAATGAGCCCGGCAGATCGATTGTCGTCCCGGTCCCGTGTCGGCCGCATGGATTTATTGAGTCAACAGCTCTCCCCGGGCCGGTACGGCCGGCGCGGCGGAGCACGGCTTGGAGCGGGCACCGCGGAACTGAACGTGACTTCGCGGAAATGTTTGTGTCTGCCGACTGCAGGTGTCTAACGTGAGCTGTGTGCCTGATGTCCGAATGTTTATTACGACGGCCGTGTGTCGGCTGTCTGCACGTATCTGACATTAGCCGTGTGTCTGCTGTCTCCAGATGTCTGACATTGAGCTGTGTATCTGCAGGTGTCCGACATTGAGCAGACGCGGCCGGACCTGCTGCGCGGTGGCGGCTCTCAGGAAACGGAACTCACCAACGTCGACTCGTTCAACTCGTCGACCGAGTTTGGCTCTGCCAGCGTGAACGCCATCACGGCCGCCAACGGCTCCGTGACGCCCGCCATCCAGACGCCCAACGTGAGTGATACATACTAGAGTTGCAAAGTTTCCCTACCGCACTACCGGCATGTCGGTAAATTTTCACTACCGCAGGTTTTTTCGTGGTATCTGACATGTCTTGCCGGTAGCATGCCGGTATTTTTGATTTTGCACAAAAATAGAAAATATCAGCATATGGTTTAGGGGAGAGCGGGGCCAGTTGAAACACGGGGTCAGATGAAACATGGCTTTATTTTCAACAGTATGCAACATATGGCGTTGCCGACACCACTGCGCATCCGCGCTCCACCACTTCCTTTGTCAACGGCGTTTGGGCGGCAAACGGACGGTAATTTTGATTTGACACTTGTTTTTGTGTTTTTGAGGGGCGTTTGGCAGAAATCGTTTTTATGAATATTTTGTGATATCTCATATACCTTTGTTTGCTGAAAGAAGAACTCCTGGCTCCGGAATAACACCTTATTTGGCCCTTCATTCAGCATGATGCCGTCCCTCCAGCTCGTTTGACACATGTGCTTTACGGCGCGTGCGAGATGGCGGGAGCGGATGGGGTCAATTGAAACGCTTCTCTGAGGGTCAGTTGAAACAGGGCCACAGGCCGTTTCAATGGACCCCGGTGACCTTTGCAATGGTTATTGTTCAGGGGCTGTAAACATTAAAGGAAATAGTCCACCTTTGAAATGAGCTTTTAAACTGAAATAGAAGTTTAATAGAGCTCAATTTTTGACCCCTTTTTCTCCAGCCTTTTGCTTGAAAGCACACTATAGCCTGAGATATTTCTCATTTTCCTCATCCGCCCATTTTACCATAGCCTATGTACTTTATGTCACCTATTATGAGGAACTTTGCACTTTTAGCTTTCCAACGACCTATTGAATGTCGCATATGGAAAAGTAAACCGGACAAAATATCTCCTTAAGAAAGTGGCCTTAAAGAGGAAAACATCCCATTGTTAAGGATAGGTGCAATTGACCCCATGGGCTGGTTCAATTGACCCTCGCATCGGGGTCATTTGAAACGGGCGTAGAGCTGTTTTATAAGCATGCGTTTGGCAGCAAAATATTTTTGAAACATAATTTTACGTATCTTAAAATAAAGCCAAAAGAGCATATTTTTTCATGGCATTGTGCATTTTTTGATATGACAACTAGATCTCGCTGTGCATGTCAATATATAAAAAGTGGTTCAACTGGCCCCGCTCTCCCCTAAACTTTAGGCACTAAGAGGCTATCAAATTATAATAACAGCAATATTAGCCACTGCAAAATACATTTTGTGGTAGAAGTTACATTGCTAAGGGTAGGGATAACACATGGACCTCAGCGATTCACAGGTTTCGTTATAATTAGGATTGTCAAGAATCTACTGTGGTCAATAAATGGAAGAATACTTATTCATGCTGCAAAAGCTCAATCAATCAGTAAGTCTAATGGTATGTAATAGGTAAAATACAACAAAATAAATAAATGTTCATGACAACGTTCCATAGAGGAAAAGGCAGAATCAAAACACCACAAAACACATTGTTTGGAAACTGGCCTTGAGTCCTGAGATGTGGTCTGAGATACTCTACAAAGTATTTGACACTGAAAATCCAGCTGAAAAGGCAGGTATTAGGTAGCCCTGAGCCTGACTTTGGTCCCAAAAATGAAATGAAAATCAAATAAACTGGCATTTTGTCTCATCTTTACAAGCAAACACAATATGCATACAAAATAAACAAAGTGGCGCAGAATAACAGCTGGGGAACCAAGGATTGACTTTTTAGATCTTCTCTCCCCTGATGGAAGGATGTAAGATGATGACGTAATATTTATTCGTATGCCTTTTTGGTTTAATTCCTGAAAAGGAATGCATTTTCTTGTAGTGAACTAAACTCACAATGTTGATTACATCAGAATTCAATATCGTTTTGGATCATTTACATCAACAAATCATTTATGAGGCAGTTTGCTACAGTTCAGAAACTTTTTTTTGCAGCAATTTAATCAGCTGGTTAAAAGTCACTATTATTATGGCGCATCGGAGGGCTGTTCACGGACCCTGTGTGCGGTCGGACCGCACACAGCCTCCAAGCTCCGCCCACTGCGTCCCTACGTCAGCCTTGCGTCACCGCACACAGCGACCGCTGTGGCCGGTCGGGACTGGCCACAGCGGACCGTCCACCGCACGCAGCCGTGACGTCAGAGCCGCCTACCCATCCCCTACCCCCACGCCTGCTGGGCGTACCGCACACACCGCACGCAGCAGTGTGCGGCGCACGCAGCAGTGTGCGGTGCCCGTGAACACCCCTCTGTTTCGAAATCTTTGATAGTTGATAACCTTGTGTTTGGAGAGGAAGATTCTTCGAGAAAGCGGGTATTATATCGTTTTTAGGGGAGAGTGGGGAAAGATGCCCAGGGTTTTACTATGTCATATATTATTCGAAAATGACGATCGGAAAGCAAAAACTTGGAGTTTCAACGGAAGCCGACATCATTTTTCTCCAAAAATATCACACTTTCGTGCCTGAAATATGATAACTGTTTTTGCTATTAAGCATTTTCCTGAAGAAGTCAAAGGGGGCATCTTACCCCACAGGGTGGGAAAGACGCCCCCTGGCGTTGGGGAAGATGCCCCCTGCACTATAAGTGACATAAATGGGCACGTGAATCGCCTGAACGAATCAGTAGCCCCTTCGAGCCTGCAGTAGACACCAAACGTCATCGTAAGGGCCCTCAAAAGTGGTTGTAAGGGGCTTCAGAGGTCATCGTTAGGGTCATCATAGTCCAGCGCGGCCGAACAAGCTTCCGTGGTGGCGTTCGGAGACCACTGTGGGGCCCTTATAGGTCTTCATGATGCTTGAGGGCCCTCGAGCCCATCGTGGGGACCTCAGATGCCAGCACGGCCCGTGGAGCCAACGTGGGAGCCCTCAAAGGATGTCGTGAGGGGCCCTGGAGCCAATAATGGGGCCCACAGAGGCCGTCGTGAGGGCTCTCAGAGTCAGATGCCGCCCAAAAAGTCGCTGTGTGGGCCGAGAGACCGGCATGAGGAGCACCCGACCGTATTGGACTCTCATTAGTCTCAGATCGGCTTTTGTCTCTCATCACAAGCATGTATAATAAATGATTTGACGGGCTGCTTGAAGGACAGCCTACGGATTTAGGGGGGCGTCTTTCCCCATCAGGACAGGGGGCATCTTACCCCAAGGTACCGAAGTAACATTAAATCAGTACAATTTGTTAGCCATAAAACTACACCCTGAAACAAACTGTTTGGGACACAGTACACGCATGTTAATGTATCACGACTATAGCAAGGGACGCAAAAATTATCTGCCTTCTTTGATATTTACAATGTTTTGACGCCAAAATATTTTTCGAAAGCAGCAAATAAAAACATGCATTCACCAGCCAGCCGTTGCCCAACTGAGCTTCGCAAATTTTTTGTGCAGTTAACAAGGCAGGCTTCCGCTTTACGCTAAGAACATTAATTTCCGGGTTCAATTCTTTGTTTCGCCGCTAGAGGGGGTGGGGCGTCTTTCCCACCCTGGGCATCTTACCCCACTCTCCCCTATGCATATTATTTGGTGACTGTTCTCAGGACAAGTGAGTTTTTCACATTTTTTCAAATGATTCGTATCTTATTCATGAGCCAGCAAGCCATGGCGAAAAGGAAAAAAGGGTGTTGATCTCGCTTCCTCAGGCGCATGGCCGAATCTGTAGGTACCTACTTTTTATGTTGTGGCCATCTAGATTTCAAAATTTGATTTTGGTTGGTAGGTTCCTGCAACATTTTAGGAGAATGTGGAATAGTAGACCACCTCTGAAATGTTAATGTGATTACTGCTAACTTGAACTTCGTTTCGTTTCGTTTCGTTTATTTAGGGCTTGTCCACAAGTGGCTATTACGGCCCAGTCAATACATGATAGGTACACACACCCACACACACACATATACATACATACAATATACACGTCAATATAAAGCAACACCCGCAAAAGCATACATAAAATATCTAAAATCAGTCATGTCACTTGTCAGTCACTATCTAAAGTGCTGCACCAGCTGTCTCCTGGAACCAGTCGCCTTCACCTCCGGCGGCAGGCCGTTCCATGCAGCGGCGGCTCTATACGAAAACAGCCGCCTGGTCGCCGCCAGTCGAACCCGCGGCAGGTCGAGCACAGCTGCGCCCGCAGCCGTGGCCCGCGTGACTCTATTGGAGACGGCGGCACGCGGGCGAAACATGGACCGCAGCGAGTCGGGGGCGCCGGCGGCGTACAAGGCGCGTTGCACGTTCACCGCGTCACGGCGTGCGATGACCTCACCAATGCCGGGCCAGCCGAGCGCGCCGAGGGCGGGGGTGATGTGGTCGAATTTGCGGAGACCAGAGACGAGCCGTACAGCGAGATGGATAGTCCTCTGCAGCCGGTGCAGGCGGGATTTGGAGGCACCACCCCAGACTGACGAGCAGTACTGGAGGTGGGGGAAAACGTGGGTTTGAACGAGGATTTTAAGGATGTCAGGGGAGAGGTGATGGCGAATTTTGAACAGTGATATAAGGATTCCATTTGACCGCCGAACGATAGAGGATATATGTGGCTCCCAGCTCAGGGTTTGGTCGAGGAGAACACCCAGCACCTTGATGTGTTTTGTTGGCCGAATAGTTGCATCATCTACGTTAAGGGTGAAGTTTTTGACTTTATCAACTGAATTTTGAGTGCCAAGAAGAGTGAAGCAGGTCTTCTCTCCATTCATTTTTAAACTGTTTAAGCTAAACCAGCGTTGAAGTTGCTGAATGTTCTCCTCGGCCCGGGACTTCAGCACTTGGATGCCAGTGGGATTGGAGGGTGCTGAGTCCAGGATTTGGGTGTCATCCGCGTAGGATATGAGTCGGCCATGGGGGAGGAAGCAGGTAAGGTCGTTGACGAAGATGAGGAAGAGGATGGGACCCACGATGGACCCCTGGGGAACACCGTGGGAGAGTGGGAGGGCCGTTGAGGAGCGGATGAGTTGGGAACGGCCAGAGAGGTAGCTGC